TATGCTTCCATAGATAGTTTAGGTTGGGTATTGATATTCTTGATACTTTCGTTGTGACTTTCTTTGATCTTGTATCGAGATTGATTTCAACTCTGTTATAGTTTATTATGTATGTATAGGCAAAATAAAGTTGCTTTCTTCTGCTGCAGCCTTAGCTGTGTAAGACGTATGGTCAGATTTTAGTGATAGAGGCACTAAATGCAAACAAACTTGGACTCAAATAAATTGATTGATGTGTAGAAAGTTGTGTTATTTGATTGAACCGTTACTATTAACAAAAAAGTGTATGTAGCCTACTGATTGAACCATTCCCCGTGAATTTCTAAAATTGAGTTACGGTTAATTTGGTAGTCAAAATACTATGCCACTCAGTGAACCTTGAAACAAGAAAATAAGTGGTAGTAAAAGTAAAACAATACCAAATTCTCCCTCAGAAATGTGTCAACTGTCGTCCCAGCATGCATTATAGCATAAGCATATATTGTAGCACTGTGACATACACTGTTCCGCATCTCGACGGACTGTTTGATTGTCTTCAGGATCAGCCTTAATCTTTGTCAACCTCTCAGCGTACACAGCGTCAACAGGATCTGTTTTCATGCTCAACTCAATTGTCTGAGATGGAGTTTCTTCCGTCATCTGGACATCCCCTGCAGTGTTCTCATTCTGAGCAGTAGAGGTTGCTATTGATGCAGTAAGATAAAGTTCCTTGCACATTTTCGCTCTTTGTGATAGCTTCCTCCAACTTATCCAATCTCCGGCATTCTATAGCAATGCCCATGGCTTGTTGATATTTTCCGTCAGTGATACATCTGAAAAACAAAATAATCGTGTAAGGAAGATTGGATAACTAAAAAGACAGGAAATAAAATAAATTAGGCATCCCCTACTTGTCTAGCATTCGTTCAACAATGGCCTCCAATCTGGGGTCAATGTCCACCACCTCATTTGACTCGGCTGCCTTGGATCTGAGAATAGCATACTCATCTATTGCTTTAGCTGAAAAGAAAAACAGAAGCATCCGATGAGTATCTTATCATGTCTCGACATAATTCCTTTCTCCGAACAAAATCTTATCAAAGAAAGAAGGATGTGCAAATCTTATTGGTCAGACAATATGTGGTGAAAGTTATTTGCTTATTTTTGCATCAAATCAGGTTGGTATGTTCTTGACTTTATACATATTGTCGTGGATATCTGAACTACTGCCTACTGTGAAAGATCTGTGAAGAGAAAAAGAGAGCATAGCAACAAGCTTCAAAATCCTTACCTAGAAGAGTATGAACATAATCAGAATCCTCTGACACATCAAATAAGGATCCAGCTCCAAGGGCATAGGATAATGAATCGTTAAGCTCACCCAAGTAATAGAAAACCTGAATAAGACAAGATAACAATATTCATTAGAAAGCAAAGCAAATCTTATAATACAATCACATAACTTGATTGGAAGAACGTCAAGCTCTGAACTTCTACCACTATCTGCTAGCTTTTAAGGGAAATAACCATAATGTATACATGAAAGATGCACTCTTTCCTCCACTGACATGTGCACTAAACAACCAGTCATCATGTAAGTTAAACAAAAAGCTAAACTGTACCTTGGAGACCAACAACGCAGCAAGCTGTCTTTGATGCAGATCGAACTCTTCATCTTCGTATAAGCTCTCTCTACAAACAAACAAAAAAATGTCTCAGATTGAAGCTATCAAGTAGTACAAATCAAGCAAGATCTCAGCCTCTACAACTTCAAAGGAACAAAATTTCCACATCATGTCCGTAAGAGAGCATCCTTAACTTAGATAACACTACAGGAATTCGATAGAGCTTGTCAATTATGACCTCAGTCTAAGAGTGACCAAGAACATGGAACTTAATACCTTAACCAAGAAAAAGAAAGAGTCCTAAAAACTATCCAAATCCCAATCCAGCAATCAAACAGATCAAGTGAAATAAAAACCCTAAAATAATAAAGAAAAACCTCAGGAAGAAACAAAAAATAGTTGAGAAAGAATACATGATTGGGACACTAGTGGAGATCTCTGGCCAAAACTGATGAACCAATTTGTTGAGATGTGAAAGAGCGTGGAGTTTCAAGGAAGTATGAGGTTCGTTGAGCATTGCCAGTAACCCACCGGCCGAACTAACCATCGCGGCGGCCATTGAAATCGGAATTACAAACCCTAGTTGATCAGACAAGAACCCAACTTCGGAGAAGAAGAATTGTCTCTCGAGCAATTAGCTGATTTGAGAGAAAATAATAACTTGTAGAATATTAAGATACTTACCCAACAAGTCAAGTAATTCAACTATGCCCCTTATATTTATCAACTTTGTACATTTCACCCCAACATTCTATATGGATCCAACTTAATCCCAAGTCCAACATTGGTACGTTTCGGTTTCATATCAATTACAATTAGTGATCAAAAATTCTCATGAGTGTGTTAAATTATGCTGAAAAAATGTTTTATATCAAAAAGGGTTAATTTATTG